AAGATAATGATAAGCTTTTGCCATTTTCCAGAAAATATTTTATCCTCATATACATACACTTCATAATTTTTTAAATACGATAACAAATGTTGTCTGATCTTTTTTATTCACTTGTGGAATAATTTATGACGAATCGGTCGAAGAAAAAGCAAAGCGAAAGAAGAATTAGCTAATTTACAAACTAATGAATAGCACTAATCACCAAGAATTTCAAGGAATAAGAAAATAATTTGCAAAAAAATGTCTGATCTTTTAAGAAAAAAAGAATGCTCGATTTTATATAAATGTTTTTATCACTAAAATATAGCATATGAAAGAAAAATTGCCTAAAATTTTCCGATATAATAGAGCAGCAAAAAAAATTCAACGATTAACATCGAAGTCAAGAATCAATTTTTTTCTACATTTTTCAATCATCGGGAATAATTTGTTGGAGAATTTCATAATTTTTTTACTTCATTTTTCAAATTTTTATTCGATTATTCTCGCTTCATAAATTAAATTAAATTTCCTAAGAAATAATTTTTTATAAAATTTAAAACCAAATCCATATAAGCATTAAACGAGTGCAGGACAGCCGATTGGATAATGGCTTGTGCTGGAAGTTCGGCTTGTGCTTCTCCAGCACCACCAGAATTTGATTTGATTTTCCGTGGAAGGATTGTTGCAATTAGACGGTGATAGCCGAAGCAAACAGCATTTAATCATGCTTACCTGGCAATTTCGGTTAGAAATAAACATTGATTTTGCAATGGGCCATAGCATTCTTTGCTATTTTTTGGTTGTTATTTTCAGGAACATAAAATTTGAAGCAAATTGAAGGCAAATTAAGTGAATATCCACTAAAATAATTTAAGCATTTAATATTTTAATATTACATCGTTTGCCAAAAAATAAATATAAAGACAAATAAAATAAAATTAAAAAAGTGAAAAAATTTTCTTAAATTATAATTTATTTGATAAAAAATTTTATAAAGTTAATGTAAAATTATTGCTTGCAAAATTGTTCTATTCTAGTTGATATTTTATTCCCTTATTTCTATTAATTTATTCATTATTATTCGCAATATTTTTGTCTCTTATTTTATTTACAGTTTGGCTTGAAATTACAGCGATGTTCTTTTTCTAGTAGCTAAAAATATTTCTGTATTTCCATTCAGAAAGCCAAATGTAGTCATTGTACTCGAGTCAAATTTACTGGATGGCAATTCATAAAGAGCCTTCTAAAAATTCACCTTTTATTTGTAATCTATTCGTAAAAAATACAATTTCTTAGTAAAAAAAACGAAAAACTGATCACCCGGCTGTAAAGAAAGTCGCTTTAGCTGAAAGCGACTCTCATCAAAATTTTCAGTTGAATTCAATTCAATCTTAAAAAAGTTAACAGTGAAAAAAGAAGTGAATAAAGGCGATATTGAAAAAAACTTTTTCTTTTTTCAATAATATTCAATTCGAAATTTATTCAAAAAATGAAGCAAATAGGATTTCAAAAAATTTTTATTATCTTTCATAATGAAAATCTTAAAAAATTAGAAATTTTTATATTTAAATTTATTGCAAATAAATTTTAAATTTGGAAAAACTGCTCCATTAAAATCTTAGGCAAATTGCAAAAATGAAAATTGTAAGGAATTTTTAGAAAAATTTGAAATAATTGGAATAATTGAAATGATTCAGTGTTTAATATAACTAATCTTTCAATTTTCTTGGTAACTGGGTGCAGAGCAGCTTTTCTTGAATTTAAGATAGCCTTTCTTAGGTGCAAATTAGTTCTTCCCGGGTGAGGTGAAAACAGCGTTTCTTTGCAGCACGATAGCCTTTCTTAGGTGTGGGCAGTCTTTTTGGATAGAACCTTTCCGCTTCTTCCAAATAAATAAAATTTTTTCGAATGAATGAAATTGGAGAGTAACTGAAGATTTCAACTCTATGAGTTAAAAAAGTTGTTTTCCTTCACTTGTCAGAGAAGAAAAAAATAGAAAAAGCAAATCGCAACAGCGAAATTATTCATATCAAAATTTAAAATCAGCTTTTGGATACAATTCGTTGGAAATTTAATCTAAAAATAGAATTTGAAAAAGTGGCATATTTGAAAGTAAATTTGTAGATTTATAGATGTTATGTAAGATAATTATTGCAATAAAAATATATGAAAAATATAGAAAATATGATAAAATTCTGAAATATAATGGGAAATATCGTGAAATTCGTTTCCTATGAGAGCAATAAATGCAAAAAGGCTACTTAAGTCAAAGGAACTTGCGCTATAACTAACGAATATAAAATTTTATTTGAGCATGAAAGGGCATTTGCGATTGAAACAAATAGCATTAAGCGAGTGAAGCTCGATTATTTTATCAGTGTAAATATTTATCTCTGAAAAGATTTTGACGCTATCACTGCTTTAAACATTTAGGGCGAAACGGCTTTATCGTGCTTAAAAGAGTCGATAAGGTTTGATTGCATGCAGGTTTGACTGGCGGATGGTTATGATCGGTCTACAACTTCTTGATCATCAGTGGTAGGTTCTTCTTCAGATATATGGTGTTGATAAAGATAGTTTCTCTGTGGCATTTCAATAGCTATCTGCATTTCCCCTTACGATTATAGTCGAGAAATACTGGAATGAGCATGCAAAACTGCACAATGGGCTCGGTGGTTGCCAAACAAGCAATCAGGGTCTAATATGAAAGCTATTTTACCTTTTTGCTAAGGATTATGGTTTTTAGATTATTAAGTCATGCTTTTGGCATCGGAGAAAGTATCCAGCAACCACTAAATGACACTTCTTTGAAATAAGAACTGATGCCCGTCGAGATCTTTCTGCGTCCTTTCCCCTGCAATATCCAACTGTATAATAAACTGGATGATGAACATTGCTTTTTGACACTTAAGAGGTGCATTTTGAATACGCGGATGATGTAGTTCTTTTCGTTTATAATTATGAAGAAATACAAACAATGTGTCAACAATTGAAACGGATCGAATTCACGGTCAAAGTAAATAAAATTCTTTCGCCTTATATATAAGAAATTGATAAAATATCTATTTTTATCATTTCATTACCAGTTGAAAAAGTGCCCCGATCATTAGATCCGCTTTAATACCAAATGGCCAAAGATATAGCGGGAGCTAGAAATTCGCTCTTCTGGTTGACAAAACTTTTGTGGAACCATCGCGAAATCACCATAAAGACAAAAGGCTGCATCCATATAGTTAATTCGCTCAATCTTGCTATATGGCTGCAAGGTAAGACCAATGAGATGGAGGATGTTAAGAAATTGGCCTTTAACCATTCATATTCAAGATACATCTTACGGATTCGCCAAGCATTTCACATGAATCTCACATCCTCACATGACTGCTCAAATACCACTTGCATTTATAGTACCATCACAAATCATCCTCTTCGCTGGCTAAGGCACGTTCTTCGTCGCTCACAGCAAGATTTGATTTGCACTGCAATGAAATTCGTGCTCCTTGGCTCTGAATGATTTAATCTTCATACAGCTGACACTGTATTCAGTATTTACAAATAGTCGCCCGATACTTTGCTCTCGTTATGAAGCAAATGAAATTATCACGAAATGGAAATTTTCGCATCCACCTGGACATAATGCACCATCCTTGTATAACCAATGAATGGAAGGTATTAATAAGTCATCTGCCCTTAAGCAAATCTGCCAAGCCGATGAAATCTCACATGACTGCATTCATTTTCGCTTAAATACCATTTCATCTTTACCATTATTCATTACCACCATCACAAGAACAGTCTCACATCTGCTAAGCCTTATGAGAGTAGCGCCAGAAGCGAGAATAAATCAATGGCCGACAGCAAAGATCCTGAATCCATAAGCACACCAGTGGTGCATGACCTTAGAAAAAAGGCTGGGTTGTCACTTTCATTTCTATCGAGATTGGATAATGCCTCATTCTTGTGGCCAGTCTAATGATTCAATCTAAGTAGTGATGCCGAAGCAATGTATACCTCACTCTGCAACTTCTACTTGAAAATATTTTTGCAAGATTTAGATAATTAAGTAGTTTATTAAGCAATATTTTTTCCAATATTTCACCATAAACATTAAATTTAATCACGAAGAAAATATAGCATCTCACCGACAGATAAATCCCGATAAAATCAAACAAGGAAACTCACCAGATAAATCATCGAAAACAATCACAATAATCATAAATACAGATGAAAATAACTAAAACTAACAGTTAATAATTAATTTAGGGAATTAGATTTATATAGAAAGACTGAAAAATGAGAACAGAAAAGACATAAAAAAATGAGAAAAATAAAAATTATGTTCCAGACTTTTGAAATTCAACAATAAAATATAACAATAATAAATTTAAAAAATTTGAAAACAATAAGACAATTGATGCTCGAAGCTGAGCTGATATTGAAATTTCTAATAGGAATTTCAATATTTCAATCTTAAATCAAAGAATACTGGAAACAACAGAAAAACCTGAAGCGTCAAATACTAATGAATAATTTTGCAAATTATCAAAAATGAAATTAAAAATTAAATTAAAAATTATGAACTGAAAAAATTAGAAAAATAATATAGGGTTTTTGTAATGGGAAAATTTCGATCCTAAGTTGATTTAAGAAGTTTATCATATATTCTTTCATATTTATGAAAGAACTGGCTCTAAGACAAAATAATAGATTAAATTTGGCCATTAACTAATATAAATCTAATAATCAAATAATAAATAGAATACATTTTAAAAAATTTCTAAAAATCTATAAAAATCTATGTAAAATTGAAATCAAACTTTCAACACAATAAAATAAAATAACTATTTGATACCGGACACAGTATATTCGGCACGATACGATGTGGCCCTTCTTGCTAGCTGCTTTTATTCCCTATATTCGGTAGGTAGATAACCGAGAAGCACCAAAAAAATAAAATTATAAAAAAGAGTGGAAACAAAAAAATTTTTAACATTACTGGAACAAAGAAAGTAACAAAAGTATTATGCAACATCTATCTCATCTGTAAGCAATGCTTTAGCATCATTTGAAAAAACAATTTTCGCATCATTCTCGCCTTCCTTTTTTTCAACAATTTTTTCCTTCAGCTGAATTCCTGTTGTATTTGTAGCTTTAATTCCTTGTTCAACTAATAATCGTTTATATATTGGTTTGAACATCACAATTAACATAACAGCTAATGAAGCAGCAATTATGGAGACATACTAAAAAAAATTAACTGAAAAAAAATTTGTGATAAAAATTTTTGGAATTTTAAAGGATTTCGAAACTGAAGCATTAATCACTTATGGTTTAATAATGGCTTAAATATCAAATTCTTTTTTCTATATTGCTTCAAAATAGATGTTATTTAAAAAAATAAAATAACCTTAAGTAAGAAATATTTTGAAAAAAAATTGCGAGAATAGTGTGGATGCCTGGTTACAAAACTTACAGTAAAACTTACAATAATGGAATAAGTACTATCTTGCGGTGTTGCAGCCACAGAATCTACGCCACTTGTACAAACTTGAATATGCATATATTCTTCTTGAAGAGCTTGCCCAGTCATTTGCATTAAGGCAACAAAAATTATTGATTGTACCTTAAAACAATCAAATAATTAATTAAAAAATTAAAAAAATATTAAAATTAAAATTAAATTAAAGTTAAAAAAATTAAAATCAGCACATACATTTCAAAAGGCATTAAAATTTTTATTATCAAGCATTAATCAATAATAATTATTGAAATAAAACCTGGCCACTGAGAACTATTAAGCCTGTGGAGGTGGTTTCTGAAACAGGAAATGTACATTCAGAAGCTAATTCGAGAGCCACTGGATAAATTGCTAAACCGAATACTCCAAATACAAAAGACACAATACTTAAAGCAATCGACAAACCAGGATGAAGTGTCAACTGAAAAACGGAATACCGCAGAAATAAATTATAACAATTAATTTAATTAATTTGAACGAATAATTTTATGAAACCATCAATCATTTCACAAACCTCACCTGTAAAAACAATAAACCACAAATAACAGCCAGTGCCATACCGATTTTCAATATCTCCTCAAATAACTTCGTTCGGTCAACAATTATTCCTGGAAGAATTATTTTATTTAATTTTTTTTCTATATAGATTTGTTAAATGAAATTTTCATTTAATTAATTGCAAACCTGTAAGCGATGCTCCCATAACACCACCAATTATCATAAGGGCTGCGCAGAACCCAGAAAATGAATTAGAATAGCCGGATGCACAAAGTAATTGCTGCATAACTGTGTACAAACAGTTAAACATTCCCATTCCGCCTCCTATTGCAACCAACAATAAAATATAAGATTTATTGGTTATAACTGATTTTAACCCTGAAAAATTTATAAAACAAATAATATTTCAGAAATTTATTTGAAAGTTTTAAATTTTTATTTTTGAACATTATATTATTATGAAAAGCATCATATTTCTTTGTCTTTTACCAAAAAATAAATGAGAAAAATAAATAAGTACCAGGTAGAAAACACATCTGATTTTGCGCAGCGCTAAAACTTGGAGGCATCTTCGGTTGTGACCGATTTATAAAAATAACTGCAAGCAAGCATGCAAAAAAGGTTGGCACAAATGTGATAATATTTATAATCGGTACCTAAAATCACTTAGCTGAATGAAACTTGCATAATCATCGAAAAAAAAGACAGACATTGGAAATAGCTGTTGATAACAAAGAAATTCGAAAAAAGACAATCGAATAATAAATTAAGAATTCTAGGTAACTTTAAGTTTACGATATAAATTTCAAAAAAGAAGAAATGTGGGAAACAAAAATAAAAATAAAACAAAATAACAAATACATGCGAAGAATTTGTGACGATCTGTGGTGAAATAAGATTGGCAAGAAGGACACCTAGCGGATTAGACATGATTCCGATCGTTGTGGCGATGGTCCGCTCATTTTCTGCAAACCAAGTCCCAGCTACCTATAAGTAATTTATTTTAAATAATTTAATTTAATTAACAATTAAACAATTTCATCTTTTAGTGCATCAGTTCTTGCCATAAATTTCTATAAAAAAAAACAAGAATCCCATTTTTCTTTATCTCGCAAAATTTTAAGAAAAACATGTTTTCAAAAGTATTAGAAAGTAAAAAAGATTTTTTTTTTTATAATTTATCAACAATTAATAATTTGTTTATTTTTTGAAAAAATTTATTTCGAGGAAATACTATTTAATAATTTAAGGTAAGAAACGGCTAGAAAATATGGTATAAAATTAGATTCCAAAATTCTCATAACAATCAAATTTAGAATGAAAATGTCAACTATTCATAAATACGTAAAACTCTTGTAAATTGATGAACTTTTATAAATTGATGAATAAAGTTGATGAAACCGATCATCCGATGTTTCTTCAAGGCAAAGACAAAAAATTGCCTTAGACTCTATGGTATAAATTTCGAATAATCCAATGAAATTAATGTAATTAACCTTTGGTGGAAGAAACATGATGAATGGATAAGCACAGGCAGCAACTGCTTGCCCAAAAATACCCACTGGAAATCGATAATGAACTGGTGCAAAAGAACTAAAAATAAATAAAAATAAATGTTTCAAAGAAAAAGATGTTTAAGAAGAAATATTTTTAGCCTCAAATCGAGATTCAGATTTTGAATCAATTTATTAAAAAGTGCTAATAAGAAAAATACCTCGACAATCTAATCAATCCACCGATCGCATTTGCCCATGCAGCTATTTGAATGGTCATTTGAAGACCAAAACGACTTCCCAGCCACATTGCAAATATACCAACAGGTATCGTACACAGCAAATAAACCATGGAGAACCAATTTGCAGCTTTATTCTGTAAATTAAATATAGAAAATTCACAAAAATATCACTAAAAATTATAAATATATCATGAATGAATCATGTCTTACTGTACAATAAAACTAATAGAAGTAACAAAAAGTGTTATTGAATCGATAATAAATTGATCTCTAATAATCTAACAGAAATACCATTCTATAAAATTCATCAACATGATTTGCTATAGAAGCAAATGCTATCCATGACATAGTATTTGAATTATTTAGAAGAGCAACGATTGCAAGTATGATCCAACGTCGTCCATAAACCCTTAAAAAGCAAAGATAAAAAAACTATTTGGCTAATATGAATCAACTTGCAAAACTAGAAACAGATAATTAATTCAGAGTATAACAAAAAATTACCTGAAATCCGAGCAAAAACCCGTCGATCATAGATGAATTTGAGAATTTTTTTGTAAATAAAACTACATAACTATATTGTTTTTTGCAATAATTAAATAGGAAGTAATAAAAATAATCTATAATAAGCAACTAATTATATAATTTATGATAAAAACAACCTTAAATTAATTCTTGCTTTAGCTGGATCAATTTCTGAGAAAGTTCCTAACACTTTTTGTGCTTCTTTAGCTTCTAATCTTCCACTATTAGCTGTTACGCCATTATCCTAGAATAATAAAATAATATCCGCGAAACTCGCAAAACAAAAACTTTCTTTATAAACAAAAACAAATACAATTAACGACTTCAAAACAAGTATAATTGGTCCCAAATTTATCAGCAAATTCAATAATATACATTTGCAAATATTGAAAACTTAAAAAATTTTAAAATAATATATACCATTATATCATCCATGAACTTCACTTGAGCATCATTCATTCCTTTGTTCACGCCCTTTATCTCTAAACTGCCTTTTGCCAACAAATTCTGATTCTCTTTCATACTGAAGTTGAATTCCAGGAATTAATTCTCTAGAAAAAAAAGGAAAAAATGAAAATTAATGAATACCATTAATGATCAACGACAATCGTCATTAAAAACAAATTAAAAACAAAATTAAATCAGGTAATATAAATTTTCTTCCAAAAATGTCCATTATTTTTTGCTGGTCTCATCTCTTCCTGGGAAAATTTCAAATAAATTTCGTAAGCCTCTCTACTTTTATTGCTTTTCCAAATTTTTCCTTTTCTACCGATGATTCAAATCTTAGAAATGAAAATTAAAACTAAGAAACTAATAAGTAGCTCAATACGTATTTTGCTTCAAAGCTACCTTTATTTCGTAGATTATTAAATAAATTATATTATAATTTTATATTATATTTCTGCTGCGGAAACAACTGCATCACCATATTTTATTTTATAGTGGAAATGGAAATCTTACTGGTTGGTTCTAATTTTATGGTTTTAATCAACGACGAGAACCAAAGCTCATGATTTCTTAATGCTCTAAAACATAAACACAATCACCCAATAATCCAACTAACCCACTTTAAACCTATCGAACCACGAAATACCATAAATTTCATGAGACTAAGAAGTAAAATCAAAGTATATCGTTTTCGAACAATCACTTCGGGACCAAAGAAATTTAAAAATTGCTTAAATGATATATCGAATTATTTTTTCTCGACATGCTTTGTGGCTTATAATAGCCTTCAAAGAGAGAATTTTGTTAAAATATATTAAAAAACAATAAAAATTCCATAAATTCGCAGAAATATTTAGAGAATTTAATATGATAAACAATAAAAAATAGAAATAACAATAAAATAATAAAAATAATAAATAATAAAAATATAATAAACGATAATAAATAAATAATAAAAAAAATAATCAAACAAAAATTTTACGAATGCAAAATTTTGATTTTAAATCAAAATAAGAATACAATTTTAATAATACAACAACTACTGAACAATACAATAACTATTAAATAAACACTGAATAATATTGTCACTTTCACTTTCCGTTGTTTCGCCAAACAATGGAACGCGGTCCTACTTGTTTATAACAAATGGATTCTATCGATATCTCATGCGGAAATTAAAAAGAGGTACCATTTACGGCTGTCATCAACCAGGTTAAACCTGCTTGGAACTCCCCTCCACCGCCGTATTGACAATCGTTTCCCCATAATTTTTTTCTTTTATTCTTATGATTGCAGCTCGACGATGATCATTAAACACACTCTAATAACTCGAAAGCGGTGGTAGTCTTTTCCCATAATCTGAGAAATCTTTTGCCAGTTGGAAAAATTCGAGTGATGCTGACGACTCACATATACCATAATTGACAATCAAAGCACTATTTGGAATATTCGTTCAACGCAGGGAGCCAGCGAAACGGACTTAGCTAGTAATGTTTTAGGCAAATATCGCGATTTGTTGCGTGTAAAAACAGGATTTGAGGAAATCTAAATTGAAATTACAGGAATATGATGTTTTTCAGGAATCTCAAGAAATTATGGACTTGACAAAATTCTGCACATCAGATGATAGTTATTGTTGGAAATAATTAATAATTGTAATAATTTTTTAGGTCATATAAAAATTTTTATGACCTAAAAAATTTATTTTTATTTTTAATTTTTATTTCTAATTTTTATTTTTCATTTAATTTTTTAATTTTTTATAAAATTATTTTATTTTATTTTATTTTAATTTTTATTTAAAATTTTTAATTTTTATGACCTAAAAATTTTTTACAATTTGCCACGATGGGTGCTGTGATAAAATTCGAATGAAAATAATTTTATCTGATAGCAATATGATAATTAATCAATTCGAACATGAAAATCAGTTTTTTTGTTTGAAACTGAAGAATTCTGTGAATCTTTTAGTTGCCAAACTCAGTGAATTTTGTATTCCATGATGGCGACGAATAATGCTCACATTCTTTCCATCCTTTGCATTTTCGTAGGAAACTTAATTGCTTGCTTAGTTGTTCGAGAACGCCGACTGGAATCGACCATATTGAATTATGTAACTGTAATAATAAAAGTTTGTATATATTTAGAAATATATTTTTAAACAGCCCTCACCATTACTAATTAGACTCGCTCCACTGGCTTATCGAATGCCAAGGAATCCCTTGGTTATAGAAATACAGCAACTAGTATTAGCATCAGCTTTATTTTTGGACAGGCTTACTCCTGCGGGAATCGCGGCGTTTCGAACTGAGCAACAACCAACTGAGCAATTCCATATATATAAAATATGTATATATACAGCAAGCGGGTTGCGAGTCCTCTGAGCAAATAAAATGTGACATTGCATCCATCTTAGCTCAAATACCCCTTGCATTAAAAGTACCATCACATCGCATTCGCTGGTTAAGGCTCGTTCCTTGCCCCCTCTCTCCAACACAAGAATTGACATTTCGTTACTTTCTAAACCTAATGACGATTGAAATCAAAAGTGAGATGATATAATCAGAAAAGATTTTGAAAGATTTTGACATATAGGGGAATCAGCGTTATATTGACGGAAAAAGGAATGGCTTCTATTATTAAGCGATAGCATCAAATTGCGCAGCTTGGAAACCCTTGTTTACCTTTATTTTTACCAGTGGAGCCAGCCTGACCAGTAATATTAACAGGTTCTAGAAAAAAAAAAGAGATATAGCAGCAGATATCCAAAAGCGGGCATAAAACATAAAAAACTGGACAGCACAGCTCATTTAATTAAAATTGAGGAATAGCTTGGCCGAATGATGTGTTGGTTCGACTGAGGTCAATCCCTGCAATCTCCGCTCAATTTTTACCCTATAGACGGTTGAAAATCTTTCACTGAAATTTAAGCAGTACTAACTAAAAAACTAGTATCACTTTACGGCTAGTTCACCACAGATATTTTTTGATACTGCATTACTAATCCACTCTTTTTACTATTATTTGGAGAATGGTCCACATGCAAAAAGTGATTCACCAGGCTACTGAGAGAGTTCATCATAATAGGAAATCATTACCCTAATATTCCTAAAATTTTCCTTTTTCCGAGCGATTCTTTGATAAAGTTACTTTAAATTCGAGCTTTATGGAAAAGTTCAACGAAAAGAGACTTGATAAGGATCTTCCTTTAAATTATAATAACTGATAAATTCAGTGATAAATTCGCAATAAAGAAAATTATGCGTTTCATTGATCGTTCGTAAGCACCAATAAGTATTGTTGTTTGAATTCTGGCAGAAACAAAATTCGCCATATAATGCAGGCCAAAGTGGTGGAGTTCGCCAATGATCTGCATAGTGTACGAAGCAATTCATTTGTGGCACATTGCAATTTTTTTTGGTATCAGCGCGTAACCATTTCCTAGAAAGTCATAACTATTCTAATAATTTGGATTACTGCAGTATAATCTGTATATATCGAAAAAAATCTGCAACATATATCGATTGATAATTGATAATACTTTTGTGGCAGCAAACTAAAGACTTAAATCTTTCTCTGGGAGTAAATCCAGGTGACAGCTGTGATTCACCTGCATTTCACCACCATTCCTCTCATAAAATTTATCTAGTCATCCGACCAGGAGAATTGGAAATGGTGAGCGTCCTTAAGAAAAAATTTAAAAGGAATAAGAATTGTTTTTAAATGAACCGTTGAAATATGTCACACTAGATATCAGAATTGGCGTAAATGGAACCAAAGAAAGTGGTTCTGTTAGAAAAGGAAATAAAAATCTTAGCCAATATATATGGGAATGATGAATCTGTTGTAATTTTTTTAATTAAACAACACCACCCTCTCAGTTCCGAGAAAATTACTTTGTATTTGCTGCATTCTCCTTTCGAAGAGTTTGGTTGCCTGATTCTTCATTCGTCATTTTTCTAGAATTTTATTCACTATTTACAAATAATCACCAGAATATTCGCAAAAGATCATATAGTTGCAGAATTAAAGTCTTATGGAATAGTTACAGAAGAGTGGACACTATTCGTAAGGTTAATGACTTCGGATACAGAAAATTCCCAAATGATTTAAGCAACTATGATAAATACAGAGAGAGGTTATTAACAAGTTCTTAACAAGTTTTTTACAACAAGTTAATAAATTTAGGCGATATCTTCCGTTAAAGGCTTTCGAGAGTAGTGCAAACTTATTAATTTTCTATGGTACTCTGTCGTTACATTCGATAAAATATACCGTATTGGATTAGCATGAAATTCCGAACATCTACAACTGCGACTCGTGTTGACATATTCTATATTGTTCTCATCTGGCCGACCACGTTTTAAAACTTTTCTTACGTTCTGAAAAAAACTGGAAAAAATAAATTCGCTCGAGGGCCATATTGAAAAAATATCCAATTGCGCAGGACAACAATTAATTAAAAATTTTTAATTAATTTTTCCGAGCTGATATGTCGATTGCGCAGTTGCTAGATAAGGGCGACGAAGAATCGAGACCTGGGTCGAAATCCATCGATGCATCACTCTCGATGCATCACTCTTCGTCGGGTTGCAGTGCCTCCTAACGGAGAAAAACAAAGGAGAATGGAATGGCGCTACTGAATTCGAAGTGCTGATGCTGATTGAATCTGTGCAAAAAATCCAGGCGAAACTAGCGACTCACCTGTACCTCTATCGTGAGTACTCTAAATCCTTTGCTAGAATAAAAAAGACCTGGAAGGACTTAAAGCAATTAAGAAAATCTGCTTCAATGCCCGTAAACGAACTTCAATGCCCGTAAACGAATTCTAACTCCATTATAACCTTAAATGCAGATAATTTTCGCCGAAGAGCTTCGATGCGATCATCCACTTTGGTTTTCTGAATCGCCCAAAGCCTCGAATCTTCAAAAACGATCGGTTCACAAAGAATAGTTGTGTTTGACTGCATGCACATCGCTGAAACATTTTAATGGCTTTAGACTGATTTGTGTGAAAAATGAGAAAGGATGATTCCAAAATGGGTTTATTTGCGAAGTGGTTGGATTTTGTGTCTGCGAAGAAACAAACCTTACGTCCTATATTTAATTCTCGTTCAATCTTCTTTTTGCTTTGGGATTTTCTCGTCGATCGTTTTGCTCGAACTTCACTGTCGACGTCAAAGATTCCTTGAAACCATTGCCCGCTTTCCGTGATTTCTTTCTACTGTTGAAATTCTATATTAGGAAAAAAAGCTAAGAAAGTATAACTTCCCATAACTTCTATTTTTATACCGTATTGGGTTAGCATGAATTTATTCCCCCTCAATTCCCCCTTTTTTTCCCCCCCCCCCCATTTATTCCCCCTTTTAAATTTATTCCCCCTCAATTTCTGCTCTAATCTTTTTCTATTTCTATTTTTCTTCACTTTTTATTTACCTTAGCTTTGAAGTAAAAGAATTAAAAAGTAAAAGTATCAATTAAAATTAGTAAAATTATTAAATTTTAATATTAAAATTGTTAAATTGTTAAAATTGTTAAAATTAAAAATAAAATAAAATTAAAATTAAATTAAAATTATTAAAATTAAAATTAAAATATATTAAAATTTAATTTAATAAATTTAAATTTAATTTAAATTTTAATACTTTTAGCGTAAAAATATTAAAATTCATAAATAGAATTACTTGCTGAATGTAGTGCAAAAATTCATTTTCCCATTGACTTGTGAGATTTTCGCTTATTTTAACTGTTTTGTGGCGTTGATCGAGTTCGGCGATTGTGACAATTTGTCGAAAACTTATTTTGCCTAAGCAAATTAAAAAATTCGATGATTTTTTTAAAAGGAGAAGCGGGTAATTAAGAAAATAATAAATCTTCCATTTATCCATCATTTTTTTTTCAAATCTAATTTTAAAAAAAAATTCAGCGAATATTTTTATTACGTTTCAGTCTTTTTGTGCTCCTGTTCTGCCTTCGTCTACTTCGATTATCACATACGCATTCCGTGAAAATTTCCACTTCCTCATGGCATTTAAATATTTTCCATTTGTTGGATTCATTCTTGGTGCATTTCCATTCCTGAAAGGCTCATCCTCAGGTAGCATTTGTCATTAGTTTTTCATTTTTTCAACTAATTCAATCTTTTTTAGTTCGAGCGGAAAGTAATGTATTCAAACCAAAAATAGTGCTTTATAAATAGTCTAATTTGAGATAATTTTTTTACTTTTGCAATTAATTTATCAGAAATTCCGAAAATTTATTCATACTTGGTAGGGAGAGCATGGTTCAGAAAATTCTGGACGTTTGCAAGCAGTTTGCACACGTTTATCCTTATCGAACCGATCACGTTGTTTCAGAAGACGTTCGCGTATTCGGGTTAATTTAGCCATTTTCCTGTTCCATAGTAAAAAATGCACATTTTTATGAAATAAATGAAGTATATTGCTTGCTTTTTAGTATCTTTCATTTTATCTTCTAAAGGTTTTTTTTTTAAAGAATTTTAAAAGAAAAATTTAATTCCAAGTAAGGAAAATTTGTTTCTAAAAAACAATTATTCTACTGATAAAAACTGGATCCTTTTTCTATTATCATCTTTTTTCTTCTAATAGCGGTTGCCATTTTTTCTGGATGTGCCTTGGTCTTCTCAATATTTAAAGAGCTTCGCAAGAGAATTTCTTGAGGATAGGATAAAGGTTATATAGCAGCACTGGTTTCGCTTTTAACGAAAGCTTTATTTAGAATTACCAAATTTAGAATCAAAGGATAGAAATGATGATCCAGTGCGTTGTGCCAACTTGCCAACTTGTCCTAGTTACAATCCGCTGATTCTAATCTTGCTCAATACAAAACAATAACAACTAGCCTATTTTTGATTTATTTCTTTATAATAGCGTTTACCCTCTCTCGATTAGGACTGTATGCCTCCAGGCCAACAAATTTACATCTTTTGTTTCAATTTTTCTCTTCGACGATGCTGAAAAATTGTTCATTTTTTTAGCAATAAAAAAGTACCATTTATGAATTTAAGAAATTTTTCTTAAATTGGTATTCAAATATGAATTATGGCTAACTATTTAGATATTTTACTTATTCAATATGAAATCATTAAAAATACAATAGCTTTGTATGAGAGGCATAAGTGATCGTCCATCCATGTGAATTGGTTGTTCAATGCCAGCCATATCAAGAATGGTTGGAGCTATGTCAATATTCATAACTGGCACTTTAATGCTACAAATAAGAAAAGGATTGACATTTTTATTACAAAAACGAGCCTTTTTTATCGAAAAATTATATTTAATAATAGCCAGAGATCATATTGTATTTAAAAAATTGCACTTGACCAAACTTTAGAAATTGATTCCATAGAAAACACTCACGAAAGGTTCTTCGGTAATCCTGGACCGCGTATATAAAATGGAACGCGAATGTCAAATTCATATGGCATATTTTTACCCTTGACCAATCCAAATTGGCCCAAATGATAACCATGATCACTAGTGTAAATAAAATATGTACTCGAAAGTTCACCAAGATCCCGGAGTTCATTGAATAACTATAAAATGAGATAATTTTATCAATTTTCGAAAAAATTGTTGGATTTTCTCCATAAAAGATAAAAGGGATAAAAGCCAGATGGATAAAAAAACTAAACAAATATCATTGCACAAGAATTTATAAGGTTTTTTTACCTTGGAAAAAAATTTGAAATTTTCCAAAACTATCTAATTACTACCCTCTGAACATTGTGATCAACACTTTGCAGTGTTTGAAGACGTCTACGATGTAACACATCAGTGAAAACCACATGAATTGGTTCCATGCGTCCAGTATGTTGTAGCAACCACTGCTTATCTGGATTTGGTGCATAATTCCAGGACAATGTTCTAAAACTGCTACATTATCTAAATATATATAGTTGAAATATAATATAATAAAAATAATAATATAATAAAATTAATTGATAAAATTTACGACCTGTGAGTTTCTACATCTTGAAACCAATCTGAATATTGTGGTGCAGGATCTTCAGGTCCATGTGGTGCTGGAAACGAGAGAATAACTAGAAAGGGTTTCGGATATCGTCTCTCGTAATGATCATGTATGAACTGTATTGTATCATTCGTGATTAAGTCTGTGAAATAATCCTGTGAAAAATTCGAATCACTAGCGTTTTTTAAAAAAAAGATTAAAGAAATTATTTTATTTTTTTATAGTTATTATCGAAAATTTAAAAAAAAAAAGCAATTCCTTGCAATTATAACATAATCAAAGCTGACCTTCTCATAATCGAAACCATGTTTAATTTTCTCGCCATTAAAATTAATTGTGTAATTGTAAAAACGACTGTTCTTAATAAGTCCCATCCAGTGATCCCATCCAGGTGGTATATATGAGCCATCATATTCATTTAAGTATTTGCCGAAATATGCTGTCCGATAACCGGCTTTTTTTGCATACACAGCAAAAGTTTTCTTTTCAAGATTATGCCTTTAATAAATTCAAGTTTGAAGTATAAATTTTTAGAAAAAGATTTTTCCAACAATTGATTCGTACATCAGATTGTTAAAAGTTCAAAGTTCATAGGAGGAGAGTGGGGAAAAAGAATGGGTGAATGGTTTGGTGGAAGTTCCTTTGACAAAAGTGGAACGTAACGATTCTATCTCTTAACGGGAATATGTCTTTTGACTTTAAAAATTAAGTAGTTGCTGAAGATCTGCTCTTAGTCCAAAGACCATCTGGGAAAGGGGTTTAGTAACAAATGAAGTGCTAAAACCAAAAATGTGCCATTTTATTTAAAAAATTACCTCCAAGCTGTGCTAGAACAATTTTGATTATTAGTGAGAACATTATGATTGTGCACATACATTCCAGTCAAAATTGACGTTCGACTAGGACAACATATTGGCGTTGATACAAAACCAGAATCGAATGACACACCACGATCATTCATAAGGTGCATCGTTTTAGGCATGAACTAAACTGGTGTAGCTAGTTTTACTTTAAGCTTCGATCAGCTGATTTGATCCAGAAATCTTAGCATTTTAAAGTAAAAATAATTGTAAGCGAGGAATTATTACTAACTAAAATATTGGCAGGAATAAACCTGTCCAAAAATTCGAGTGTTGCTGGAGACTCATCTGTATTTCTATCGCCACTACCACTTTCTCGTTTTGCCTAATATGACAAGCTAATCTAACCAGTAATGGGTGAGTTGCTTAGAAAAACTGAAATATTGCCCAGGATTAAGGAATTTGAAATTCTAGCCGAATTCCCTCAGCAAATAAAAAGAACAAAAATGATGAATATTACCTGCATGGAACCGAGTTCTATATCTTGATCATCAGTGATAAATAAAATAATATTTTGTTGAGTTGTTCTCCTGCAAGAATTCTGAACATCTTCATGATTTATAACACCATATATTATTTAAATGAAATGAATAGATTTGTTTTATAACCCTTCTTTTCAGTATAGTTTTTCCCCAATAAAAAAAATAATTCCATGAGATTTAACGGCTAAAATAATAATAATATGAGGTGGCGATGATAAGTGGCGAAGTTTTTAACATTTAAAGCATTTAAATCTTCCATAAAGACTGAATCATTTGAGATGAACTAAAAAATTCACCTTGCATTCAGTGGAATCCATAAGATATTAATAAGAAGAAGGAATAAAGCAGATAAAAATTTTGAAGCTAAAAGCGTCATCTGTCTGTTTTCAGTTTTTTTTCCTCGATTGTCAACAATTTCTTCAAAAATTTCTAAAAATTAATAAATAAAAAAAACTATTTTTTATTGTTTATTTATAGTTTAAAATCAATAATTTATCTTTAAAGTAAATTTTATGGAATTTTTTTGAAATCTTTCATTCAAATTTGGAGGCAAATTTGATAGCCGAGTGACTATTAACTCAGGTTATAGGTTTTAGTGCGAAAAATCAACGGTTTCTACTTCTCTCAGAAGTAAATTTACCATTAAAAAATCCGAATTAGTATTATAATTCACCTATATTGCCAAATAATATTTAAAAATTTCCTATTGTGTCAACCTAACGAGCAACAAATGGTAAATGGTACTAATTGCTTTTATTCCATTGGCCTAGATAGGCCAAATAACACAATAAAGAAAAAGCAACAAAAATTCGCGAAATTGTTCTGGTTGAGATTAGTGGTTGTAGCGGTGAAAAACAAAAGCTATGAGATAATAGACACCGAATCTTTGATCAACTGAAATTAATCATTCTTCTCTAAAGCCTTTGAGAAATGAAGCTGTTGGCTCGTAAATCCCCTTTATTCCTTCTTTAATCATCATCAGCGTTTTTACTTTAAATATACTGAGGAGTCGAAGCTCAGCTTTCTTCATCGTAATATGTCATCGGTGATATGATGGATAGTGCTTCTCATATATCCCTCGAACACTTTATTCCTTTCATCGTTAAAAAAATTATAGAGAATCGTTTTTTCCACACTTGACATATATAATTTCCTTTGATATCCTTTGATTTAATGTTCCCCGCACTTTTCCCGGTGAATCGCCATCATTTACACCGACTCATCCTATTGGTCAATGGAGGGAAGCGAACCAGAATTTACAGAATGAAACTGATAGGTATATTCTTTTAGAAGAAAAGGAAGAGCAGCAGTTAAGAAGAATAAATTCTATAAAAAAATTTGATAAGCCGCAAAAAAATGACAGTTGAAGAGTAGTTTAGCAGTTTGCTTGTTATTTTAGAATAAAGTCAATAAGAATTACTTTTGTTTCTTCCGAATAACACCTGTTTTTAATATTATAATTGCTAATGCAACTAACCATAAATTTTTCTAGAACTGATTGCTAAAATAAAAAATTTAATAAAGTTTAAAATAATAATATATAAAAAAGTAAACGATTGGTATTTTCGGCTTCACTGGTTGCTGGTACGATGAGAAATTTTAATTTAGATATATGTATATGCTTTTATACTGAGTTTGCACCATTTTCTACGTTTAATGGCTCTGTTGTTGCAGGGACACTCAAGCGCAGAATTTTGATACCTTAAGACGATAACTTGAGCGTTATCGACCCGCTACTATGTTCCCACATACACTTAGATAATGCTGCAATAATATTAAAATAATATAATAATAGTAGAAATTCAAGAGCGTACGAAAAACTTAAAGCGCCCAAGGGATAGAATGAAAAAAACTTACGCCCCAAAACTTTTCGAAATGGCATTTCTTCCAAAAATTATCTATCAAATTCTATTTTCATTCTTAAAAGCCTTATTAGCCATTTTACCTCCAGAAAACAAAAGAAATAAAAGTTAGATTTATTTACTTTTCTCTAGAATTTACGATTAATAAAAGAATGTACAACTTGCAGATAATCTCAAATAATGAGGATAAAAAAAAAAAACTAAAAAGCTTAGGAACAATGGTCACCAAATTTTGTCTCCGTGGGTCCCTCACGAGGCACCATAAAAATCCATGGACCATCAATGCAATATTTTTAAGCTTGGAAACTTTAATTTCCCACCTAAAAATTCGCAATGAATATAATAAATTGGACGAAAAATAATCGTCAAAAAATGATCTATTTCATTGAAATAAAAATTATAATTGGAATTAGAAAGTAAAATCCGAGTGGTGATAGGCACTCTTATGTATTTCTATAACCCAAACGAATTTTAGCAAAAAGGTTTTCTCATTCGGACCAAAACCAAATAAACCATAAATTTTGAATTCCGCTGGAAGAAATTTCAAATAAATGTGAGGAAAATAGGAAAAACCGAAAAAATTCTTCACAATATTTTTCTTAATCAATTTTTGCTTATTCATTTCTCATTTTCCTTTCTTCTCTGAAAAATTCTTTTTTTTTTGCTGAAATAAATAAATATTTTTGCAACATCTCGTTATATAATTCCATTTAAAAATATAAAAATTTTCTTGAATGATTTAGGAAGAAATGCGCTGCGAGAGAAACTGCCGTCGAGGTAAGCAATAGTCTAACTCCATGGCTATGGTTATAGACCTGTTTGTCAATAAAATATGCTGGTGCTGACGGGTGACGCTGGCGGTTTTTGCTTTTATGCTTTTACCAAGAAATTTCGTATCACATCAACAACTAACGCTAATAGCCTAACCACTTAGAACAACACAAAGTAGACCAAGTGGGGTTATGAAAATTATGTATGTTTTAAGGATATAGAATGGAAAAATTTCGAGCTGTTGTTATTCTGTACATTCATTTTTAATGCCTTATCATTATCGCACCTTAAATTAGATTCGAGTACCCAAGTTTATGGTTGGTTTAGCTCGCTTTGCTGTTGGTTTTAAGATATTACAGAATCGCAGTCTTTATGCAAAATTATTATTTAATAAATTAATATTCATATAATAACATTTAAGATGAAATCAAAATTAATTTAGGTGTCGATTCAAGGCCGACTTCATGCAAACGGAGAAATGAGAAATCAAACAATATTATTTGAGTGGCAGAATAGAATTTGCTTGAGATTACCTCGTTATTCTGTTTAATTCGTGCAATCATGCCAATTTAATAGTTTTTCGTGGCTGAAGGAGATCGTTTTGCATTTCATTATATTTACAAGCCAATTAAAAATATCGTTTAATATTTTTATTTATAAAAAAAGATTCAATCATATCGATTCAAAGATTAGTGAAAAATGTAATTACCAATTAACATGATAAACGAATAGATTGTTTATCTTAGTTAGTTTGTTAATAATAGTTTTAACAACGATTTTGTTTGATAAAATAAGTTTGATAAGATTGATCATTTTCTCGTATTCGAAAGAAACGTTGGACCAAATTTTGAATCAATAAGCATTTGGATATTTTCTAAAAATTTCCGTTAATCCACTTTTGCCTGTGGTTTTTATATACAAAAAAATAAAATGATGAAAGATTTTTAGATGAAGGTTGAAAGAAAAAGGAAATTTCCCTGAGCTAATTGAAATGTACGATCTAAAAGATTCATATAGCTCTCAATTCATACTGAACATTCACTATTTATTGCGTCGGTGGTACTCAACACAGCTAAGGCGAATTCATCTTCGTACTGCCGTGTGTATCTCCTCTTTAAACGAGTACGCTTATAAAACAAATAAATATGTGTTACGAGGAAGCAACATAAGAAAATTAGAAATCCACACAAAAGAAACAACGACACAGCTATTATAATTGATTCCAAATCGGTTCCAATTGGTGTCAACGATTTTTTTATTAACATTACCTATAATCGAGAATTACAATTTATTAATATTGTAGAAAAAAAAATTTTTTCAGTTGCACTTTTCTTCTTTATATATTGACCGATATATAGGTTATCAAGGCACCTTCGTCCTAAGGATCCATCTGCACCTCTATCCTCAAAATGCTTTGTAATAAAATGCTATTATTCTAGTGGAATCGGACAAGTAATTTAGAAATAGTGAGCGCTATTTTATTGATTGTGGACTTTTTAAACGTGTTTTACTACAAATCGAAAAAAAAATAGCTGAGAAATTTTAAAAAAAACTTTAGGAAAAAATTGAAAAAAACCAGCCTTTGATGAGATAGGTATTGCTTAATTAACGAAATTTTATGCAATAACCAGAGAATCGTTCGTCGTTTAGAAAAGCAAAAAGTCGCCATGGATTCCAAGCATTTCTCTATTCTGCAAGTTTTGGAGCTCAGATTTCAAAAAAGAAAATCATGAATTAGCTCGATAGAACTATGAGATAGTTACTGGTAGAGCGTAAGCACAAATAGTATAGCTCAGTTGTCTAAAAGATCTAAGGAAAAACATGGAATACATTGGAACCGCTCGTTTCACACTAATCTGATCCATAAATATCGAATTATTTCGCAAAATGAAACTACCATAGGCTAAAATCGAGCGATAAAAGCTATTTCGACGAGATGGTTTGATGAATAAACTATGAAAGATTTTAGGATCGCACATAGAAATTATAGGTGATCACTAAAAGTTTGCGTGCTTTTGCTAAACTTATCATTGAGAAATGTTGAGTTTAGGGGAATCGATGAAGAAACAACTAAAATAATTAATATTTTGAAATGAGTGATTACAATTAGTCGAGCAGATCAATCAATTTAAGCAGATTCATTTTTGAAACAATTAATGTAAACAATTATCTATTGAAATAAGTATTGAAAAAAAATATACGGTCAATCTGCCTTGTCCACTGGCAATAAATACTCCGAGAAATTGTCAGCTAATCGTTCCGGAATAGGGCTGCCGATAGGTCTCCAGCATCAGTCGGATTTTTTATTCACCTGCAGTAGGATCCGAGGCCTTAAAACTCGAGGTGGTACTCTAAATAAGAAGCGCTCAATTATCTGCTTCTTTGGCCTGAGTGAAATTGCATTATCAAATTTTAACAACAATGCATAAATATTCACTGATTGAACGACTAGACGATTTCTAAGATTTTTGTTTAGATCTTTTATTTTGCTATATTTTTCGTGATAAATTTTGTTTCTATAAATTTTTCCAAAATAAATAGTATTCAACTGAATTTGAATTTCTGATGAATTTCATGAGAGAAAACCTCTCACTGAATCTAAATGAAACTATAAATCCATTTATCTCTATTCAAACCTGTTGGCAACCTTTTTCTCAAGCAAAAATTAAAATAAATTATATAAATTTATAAATTTATAAAAAATATTTTTATTTTTATTTTACATGTTTTTTTTGTTGCCTTTGTCTTTGACAAAAGTAAATCTGCCATGATAACAAAAATCCAGTTGGCTGCTGGAGACCCGTAATTATATCCCACCTGTAATTATATCCTCAAGTAGCTCTATGGTGAAAAGATCTTCTTCTTCTTCTAACAGCTCTCATCACTGTTGGTTAAGCTGATTACAAGAGCAAGACGTCTCCAAGCTGCCCAGTTAGACGCCATTGCTAATAATAATAGAAGCCATTCTTTTTTTTATCGTCTAAATCCATATATCGCTAATCAAATCAGGTCTTGATTGGCTCACCTCGCTCTTGACGCCATCCACCACACGGTCTAGCAAGTAACGAAATATGCGTCAACTCTTGTCAGTGGACGACGAAGAACATGCCCTAACCAGCGAAGGCGACGCTGTGTGATAATATTATTTATGAAAGTGGTATTTGAACGAAGGTGAATGCGATATTTTATCCAAGGTATTTAAAGTCCAGCATTTCCGGCAATGTATTGATAAAGATAGATATTTTATCAGCATTTTGTATATAAGACGAAAATATTTCCGTTTTATTTACATTGATATTGAGACTAATTCTCGCTGCAGTTGTTGACACTTTGTTTAACATTATTTGCATTTCCCCATTGATTCTATGGGGAAAAGGTCAAGTCTTCTTGACACGTTCGACGCCTATGTTCTCAGCTCGGTGGTACATGCTATATGTAATTGGTATGTAATTAAACGATCTCAAGGCTTAAAAATATGATCTACTCGCGAGCCAAGGTAGCTATTCGAAACTAAGGAAAAGCTTTCTGCACGCGCAGCGAGATGTTAGCAATAGCAGCATGGAACGCTGGAAGCAAAGCGATCAATGTCTACATTCTTTCTAAATATCATATAGATGTTGCCTGTTTATCAGAGGTTCATCTTCTACACTTCGGGCAAATTACCAAATTTGGCTTTAAGCAGAAATATTGGCTATATTATTGTGCTGTTTCGGACAATAACATGGGGTGAAATGGCGATTGGCATATCTGAAAAAGCTGTGATTGAGTGGAAGTCGGTAAAGGATCGAATGGTCTTTGCTCTAAAGGAAAGATCTGCAATATTTTGGTCATCAGTTCCAATTTTAAGCCGCGATAAGGTTAAGTTCTATGCTGAACTTCCACTTCTAAATAACATCTCTACCGAAAAATGACATGGTCACATTCGGAGGAGATTGGAATGTACGAGTAGATCACGATAAACTCAATAATTGGCAAATATGAAGTCCGAGGAGCCAATGCAGAATGCCTCCTTCGTTTTGCCGAATAGCACAAATCTTTGCTACTATAATACATGCTTCTGACATCGGAGAAAACATCTAATCACCTGAAACTCTCCAAATAGTCAACATTTCAATCAGATTGTTCATATTCTAATCAATCGCTGTTGGAAGAGTTCCGTGCTAGATAATCTTATTGGCGCTGAAACTAGTAACTTTTATGGATCAGGCTATGTAATGTTTCGAGCCAAGATTCGTATAAAACTAACAACTCGCAAAAAAACAACGTTTCCCATGATCTTTCAACTATTTTAAATTAAAGATTTAGTAAGTGCATTTCAAATCAGTTGTTAAAGCTCCTCAATGAAATGCACAATGACATCTCTGAAAAGGCAAATGAATACTGGTCCCAACCAAAAGAATGTCTCCGAAAATCAACCATTTTCATACTAGGATATGAAATACGCTAGTTGTGTATCGGAGGGAAACTGTCCAACTGACTGAAAAAACTGCCAAAGCGCGAATGTCAGGTGATCCTGACTACCGAGTGCTTCGAAAATTTGCAACGAAAGCACCACGGCGGGATTGAAATCGCTAATCGCTGGAGCGAGATGGTCTTGATTAGGCGATAATAGGAAGTTATTTTACCTTTTTCATAAAGCAACTATAACTCGAGGAATGATTAGCGAAATGATAAGGGATAGAAATGGTGTGCCTGTTAAGAGTATTAAAGATTGCCTTCTAAGATGGAAAGAACTCTTTGAGGCCGAACTTAACCACGATATCCCCCGGAAATACCTGATTTGCTCGTTCAATGATACGTTTGCAAGCAGCCAACAGAAGAAGAAATAATCTTTATCATGCATAGAAATATAGAACTCCTGGAGAAGATGATCTGCCGGCCGAACTTTTCAAATGTCCATTGTCCTTAATTTCACACCTTCGCGATATATTTTGTGGTATGGTAGAATGAAATAATACCAGATGATTGGAGCAAAGCAATTCTGCAATTCCTAGAAAAGATGACAGGATATATTGTGATAATTATTGAGGAATTCTATTTCCTATAAATCTCTCTAAGCGAACTGCATTCGTTGACGTTGTTGTGCTGACCAGATATTGACGCTAAAAAAAGTACTGGAACATCGCTTCAAATATTTATAACCTGCCGTCACATGTTTCACTTTGCAGGTTGCCTTCAATTCAATTAATAAAAAAGCTTTAGAGAGTGATGGAATGTGATGGTACCAGTGATGTGATTCAGCTTTTTATATAAATCAGTCCAGAGCATCGTATACAGATCTTGCTATCATGCTATTATTGCAGGATCTGGCCATTGAGAGTGAAGGATATTTCGAAGCTATCTGAAGCTATGATATTAAGGTTAAACGTCTTACGGCTCTACCGAGCGAATAAAATCGTACATCCAATCCAACCTCGCTCAAATACCACTTGCATTAATAGTATCATCACCATTACAGAGCATTGCATTGCCTTCGCTGGTTAGGGTATGTAACGCCTGCGACGACAGGAGTTAACGCAAATTTCGTTTTTTAAACCCTATGATGGGTAGCGTCAAAAGCGAGATGGGATATCAAGACCTGGTCTGACACATTGTCAGGAAAGATTTTGAATGTATAGGTGGAGCAGCAATATATGGACTTAGACGATGGAAAAAAGAATGGCTTCTATTCTTCTTAGTGATAGCGTCGAACCGAATAGCTTAGAGATGTCTTGTAGGTCTTGTAAGAATAAAACGAAACTATTATACTTATAAAATGGCACTATTTTGGGCGATTTAAAGAAGGAAATATTAAAAATAGTGTGATTATTGCACATAAAATTTATGATAGCAATATTCAATTTTATCAGCCACGAAATCAACATCATCCAAAAAAAAGTTTACTCATAAAATTCTCATAAAATGATGATAACGATAATTTTTCTTGAGTTTTTGGAATTTAAATCGGATGATAAAATCGGAATAAAATTAATTCATTTAATAGTGATTTGTGAAATGAAATAGGTTTGGGGAAAATTTTAAAAGGAAGAACTCGAATAATTTCAAGAAAATATTAGGTGCGGCATAAGTCCAGCCAACTTCGCTATGTGGAATGGAAACCATTGTAAGTGAAAACCAGTGCAACAAAAAAATTAGAAATTATCCTCGACGTAAATCATCAAATACTTTTCCAAGACATTCAATTAAGAAAGAATAACAATTTTAAGATAATATAAAGACAAGTTTGCTAGCGAAAAATATCCAAATCCAAATATCAAGGAGAGTT